CCACATACACTTCTGTCAACCGGCTCATCGCACAAGCCACTAGCGCGATCACTGCGTCCCTTAGGTTTCCGAACATTTTAAATGGGGACCTGAACGTAATTCAGACAAATTTGGTCCCCTATCCGCGAATACATTTTCCCCTGAGCAACTTTGCGCCATGCATATCCCCAGAAAAAGCCGAGCATGAAGCGTTGACAACCAGAGAGCTTACGCGGGCAGTGTTTGAGCGGGAAAATCAGATGGTCAAGGTGGACCCTTCCTTCGGTAAATTTATGTCTTGTACTCTTCTCTACCGAGGTGATGTCAGCCCGAGTCATGTTTATCTCTCGCTCATGGAACTTAAATCTGCTCGAGGTATCGAATTTGTGGACTGGTGTCCGACTGGATTTAAAGTAGGGATCAGTTCTTCACCACCAGTGTCGATTGTTGACAGCCGGGTGGCACAGTGCGATAAGAACGTCGTGATGCTCGCGAACAACTCCGCTGTCGGACAGGCTTGGCAACGTCTGACACACAAATTCTACCTCCTGTACTCAAAGAAATCTTTCATTCACTGGTACATCGGTGAGGGCATGGAAGAGTCAGAATTCAGCGATGCCTTAGTCAACATGACCTCCCTAGTGAGAGATTATGAGGAAGCTTCCGGTGATAATAAACCAGCAGCGTAGGTGAGTCAATTCGAGCAAGTGGATGCACATTCGGTTACCACACTCCTCCTCCTGCATCTAAATGTGCACTTTCCTCTTCTCATCTCTGGTCCGCAGTAACGGACTAGGTTGGGCTATACACAATGCGTGGTAAGTCCAAATTTGGCCAACAAAACACCATTCCTGTTGCATTCCTCACTGTTTTCTCCTCTGTCAATCCCGCACTGTCAACGATTCCCGTCTACCTTTGAGCACCAGCTGTGTAATTTTGTTCCCCACCACTTGTCAGTCTTATTGCATTGGTGCGGGGCCGAATTCAGTTTGGCCAGCATTTGCTTTCCTAATATGACACTGTGTTGTCAACATTGTTCGTATGTGTTAGTACTGTTAATTCGCACTCAATGAGGGCTGAACAACTCTAAATTAATCGGACTAGGTTTATCCTCCTTCGAAATCAGGTAACATTTTGGAAACAAGATCTAGTCCGTGGCGGATGCAATCCAAGTGAATGTTGTGTCCAAATGCAGTCCGGGACACAACGCAGGTCATTGTCTGCTGGTCCTTCATGGGTCCTACAATGAGTTGATAGCTTCTAGAAGGCAATAGCTCAAAGAACGCCTTTCTCGAGCCCGCTGTTGACATCCTGATTTATTCCCGGAGATGCACATTTAGGTCGCAAATGTCCCATCACCGGTAACTTCTTGCATTCGTCGGAAGATCAGTGTTCACTAACGAAGCTCATTACTATTACTTGTAGAAAGTAAGCCGAATGGTCCAGATCAGAGGAAAAATCAGCATTTCAAGTGCTACAAGTGCCCTATTCAACTACTATAGCAGATGTGCTGCGAGAGATGCAGCCGAAAAGGTAACCACCCTACCCATTCCTGCCGACCGCTGACCAATAACAATTGGTAGCACTTACTCCGAGGTAAGAACAGACATGGAAACTTGAGGTGGGTCCACAGTGTCCCCTTTGGAATACTGGGCCGTTTCGGTAGCACATTGAGTACCGTGTCCCACTCGGTACAGTGTGAGCTAAAATTCTACCGCCCCTGGTACGCATATCGTTGTGACACAGTCAACTCTTCCCACCAGCTTGATCATTTTCGTCATTCAGGAAGGCATTAACGTCAGCTTGGTGAGTGTCAGTAATGAAGTAATTGACTAGCCTAATAGTCCTAATATGTCCATATGATGTACACGAGCTTGCCCAACTGCATCGATGGGACTGAGCGACCTCGTTGATTAATGCACAGCTTGGAGCTGCAGTGGGCACAGGTTCCGCCATCGCTATCACAGCTTGGAAAGCATCATTGGCAAAGAGGCTGCCATTGGGATCGACTTCAATGGACTGCACACCGGTGACTTCCTGTTGCTGAGAGCCAATAGATAAAACTGTGATGCGGAACGTAGCGTACCTCAGCTTAAGAACGAGATCAACAGATGGATGATTGATACACCGAAAAGGTGAGTCGCATGTAGAAGAGTGAGGAGTGATGGCGCTACGATACAATCAACAGCGCGGGCTTGGGTTGCGGGAAAGTTGTTGTGCCGACGATTGCAATGGAATGACCGGATAAACGAGATCAGCACGTGCAAAGATGATCTCTATTAGGTGACTAGAATCACACGTTCTTGTAAGAATGTTTACTGAAACAACAGAAACACAACCTCCAGCAAAAATACAGATTCGAAATGACAAAACAAAAATCGACTTCAACTACACGAGTTACCGGTGGAGGCTACTCCCACCAATTTACTCAACGGGTACAGGGCACTTGGACAAGTCTCACGGACGCCCTGCTTTCGAGGTCAGAGGTGAGACGAAAATGGTCCATCGCTATTTACCCTCTGACATGCGGCTCGGTGGTCACTAAGCTGAGAGCTCGATTATTCTGTTACCTAAGTTGGACGCCTCTACAAGGCCTGAAAGACTAAAATGCAACCACGAAATTTTAAACACTCCTCAGGGATCTCGTGGTTTCGCAAGGATCGCTTCACTTATGCAAAAAGTGAGGCCAGATAAAGGAAAACGAGCTACAACCTATTCTCGCCCGGTGTCTGCTTTTCACCTTTCATCTCGCCGCATGCTCATCCGGGGAATACGAATGCAAGAAATTAGTTTTCCAGTTCACCAAACTTCGGATAGCTTGCGTGTTTGAGCTTAATCCTGTATGCCTGGACGCAGACCAATGAGCACCACAACATAGAGATTAAGATGTGCTGAGTCCAAGCAACAGTGGAGTTAGGCCCACTGGCATTTCGTTAGGTGGATAAAGATGAACCTAAACAGAGTGTGTCACCTAAAACTAGCGTGCATCCACTCAGTATCACCGTTCGGTTCAGAAAAATCACAGACAGACCCTATCGGGACGGGACTACGTCGAGCACATTTCTAATCTGGATGCAATGCCGTGGGCCAGTAATTGCTGTGTTCCTCGATTAAAGTGTGCGTTCGATTCAGTCGATCATACCGTTCTGCTCGACATACCGTCGAATTTGGACGTTTTACATACCTTGTGCATGAACGGCACAAGTCGCGTCAAAATCTACAGTGAAGAGTCGGGTGCCTACCCGATAGAAAGTGTTGCCAGCCTGGATTCGCATTTCCTAATCTCAATGTGATTTCATTATGGGATCTGACGAGGAGTGCTTTGCGGTGGGGCATCAAGCTGTGCATATTCGTGAGAATCTGCCTAGAAGAGCTGATTGGTGTAGATTATATAGACGATATCGCCTTGCTAGCTGACAATCAAAATGCAGACGATCAACCCAGGACAAACTCATTGCAGCGGGGCCATCTGTCGACACGTGGTTTAGATTTTCAGTGTGCAAAGCCCTGCTGAATAGAAACCGGTCGTTCACTGGCTCCTTAAGAGCTGACGACGAAGCTGTCTCAGAAGTGATACATATGTGACTGCTGAAGCTGGTCTCAGGTTCGTGCGACATCTGTGGTGACCACCCAGATCGTGTCTACTGGACCAATGTGACAACCGATCTTTATCACATTTGATCATTCCGATTCGAAGATTAATGTTACTTTCGGGTTTTCCTCGGAGCATTGCTCGTATCGGTTAGCCCCAATGAATCGGATGAGTGCTACAAAACAATTGAAGATTCAATTCTCCAGACTGACGAATAAGGCGGAACAAACAGCATGGGTTCAGGCAAGTGTCCAGAAAAGCTATCGTTAAGATTGTGGAGGGAAAAGAAGACAGTGAGGACCATATCTGGTACCATCGGTCGGTCACGTATCTCAAGTTCTGGTCCGCCATATTCACCCTACGCTTAGTCAGAAATTCTCATGGAATGTGGCTAGTGACTAGCATCTGTGGAGTAGTTGTTTTCGCACTCTAGCTGGGTTATATGTGCAGTGGTAAATTATGACGCGAGACAATGAAACCGAAAAGAGTCCGAGCAACCAATGCCACCGCTGCTTAGTTCGAAAACCCCCAAGTGTGGTGGCTGTGCGCTGTTGGCAAGGTGTCGAATATCTGTCTAAAATATACGGGCTACACATCAAGTCCCACCTTACTCACACACTACATTGATAGAGCAAGTATGGTTGTATGTCAGCGAAGCACCGATATAAAGCACTGTTGTACTGCTGTGGATTGCAGGGATTCTGTTTCGTCTAACAGTTTTGTCTGAAACGCGTGCGACGACTCGTCCTGGAGAATCAGATTATGGACATTGAGCAACGCAGAGGGCAGATGTTTACACGAGCGCAACACGCAACCCCGTTCGGACTCCCGAAAGGAGACATTGCGAATGCACGACATAAGAGTAGTCGAAAGGAGGCAACACTCAAGAAATGATAAAAATTTAGTAAACAACTGATTTTCAAAGTGACAGCTGGGGTATCTGAGCAATAAACATATATGGGGAACACAATGTCTGATTGTGTGAAAACGAAGGAAGACGGAATTAGTGAGGTTTCTCGTGTAGATCACAGTAGTGATGTGGAAGAAAGGCCACATGATGATGATAGAAAGAACAGAGTCGGGGTTGCTCAGGTAAGAGCCAGTAGGTTTCATAAGATGAAATGGAAGAACAAACAACAAACAGACGCCTTGATTGTATGGATCGTTTGGTGTGTAGTTCATTCTCGTTTGACTAGAATTTATCAAAAAATAAAAGAATAACCGCCTAAAAACAGTAAAGAAAGCCCACAAAAAAGGTATAGTGAATAGTAAAATGAAGACTAATGGGAGTAGATTCAGTATAAAAGATCGCGATCAAAAATCCATAATCTATATGAGATTTGGCTTGTTTGATAAACAGCGCGTAAAGTAAAGCCCACACGGTGTTTCTGGCGAGGTATAGTACTGTTCAACGTCGAGTGTAAGGCATTCAGAGATGAGAGGCTGGGGGGTCTTGTGTGACGGGGGTAGAAGTGGGGAGAAAAGAAGCACCAAAATCACGATTTGTGTCTTCCGCTCTACTGCTGCAAGAGCCAGGTGGAGTGCAGACAACGGAGTGGTACGGGCTCGCAACAGGTAGAGAAGTTCGGCTTTGCACAGACTTGTCGTCACGTACACCATTCGCCACAGTGCAACTAGGTTTCTCTGTGGAAACATGACCAACGCATTCCCCAACGTCACAAAGCTCATCAGGAGAATAAGTTGTGCACAAATCGACATCCGCACAAGATGCATCATTTTCCCCACGAGCATGGTCCTGGGGCAGAGAGGTGAGTTTCCTGCAGTCCCAAAATGGTCGCTTGGTATGGGACTCCGAAGAATTACATTTTCTGGCAAGCGCATCACCTTGCTTCAAAGAAATCTGCGTTCCGTCCCCATTCACCGGAGAGCTCGAGCAACCGTCCTTTCGCCGACGGCGACGTCTCCAAGCAGCTGTCTCTGATGTTTGGAGATATAGTCGATTGCGACAAAATCGAGTAAGCGGAATGGAGATTAAAAAGGTTATAAAAGAAAGAAATATTAGTAAAAAAGCAAAAAGTGCCAATTTAGACGGTTCTGAAGCGAGCCAACCGGGTTGACTGTCTGGAGAAGTTGGCTTTTGGTCGATCCACAGACCCTCTCCGGCGCTGATTTCTACGCCCGAAAGACAGGTGACTGATGGAAAATAAAAGAAGTTACAGAAGTGGAGATATAGTGCAACCGTTGACACGTCTAAAACAATTACGGTCTGCAGTGACCAAACGGGTGATACTGAGGAAAGAAGTGCAAACGGGTGGCTGACACTCATTAGGTCGTGAAGTATAGGATATCACGGGGTGCAAAGAAGTAAGAACATCTGCTAGTATATGGCTATGTAAAAGCTCTACGATACCGTTGTACGGTTATGTGTAATGATCCAAATATATGTGCGAACTAGTAGTGCTCAAGATGGGAACATATACAGAGTGGGAGAAAAAGCAATGAAGCAAATGTCAACTCCGATCCCACCACCACACTTCGGTGCGGAAGATTAAAGTGCCACGACTCGCGCCTCCAAGATAACGACAAGTGAGGAGGGGAAAGTGAGGGTGAACGCAAGCAAGGAACGAAGAAAAGACAATTAAGAAAAAGGAGTAAAAATAATCGAGATGCCACACACCAAATTCAGGAACGCCACTGACCGTGCCATATCTAATGGGGTCTCTAATCACTGATGTGAATCACCCGAGGCATCCATTCATGAAGATGCAAGCAACAGCTTGACCAAGTCTTTCAGTCAGTTTCTTCATGCATTACGCGACGAGATGGACTGCCCACCTCGCCACGGCATATAATGCACGCCAAGGAAGCCGGTCAACGGGCGTACGAAGGACATGACCTAACCAAGCTAAGCGAGTAAGATTCAGCAAACATTCGACTGTAGCACCAGAAGGCTTCTTGCCAAAAATCAACTGACGAACCTCAGCACTGCTCATTCGGTGTTCCCACCAGAAGTGAGCAATACTCCGCAAGCACCGGTGGTCAAACACGGCCAAGCGTTTAATGTCTTCATTACGAATTAGTCAGGTCTGTGATCCACACAGTGACATATCATCATACACTCTACCTTTCATTGACAGATTGATATCTCGCCGCCTCCATAGACAGTGTAGCATCTGAAATGCCACGCGGGCCTTGCTGATACGCGAAGCGAATTCCTAAGTGATGTGACCACCAGAAGTGACACAGCTAACAAGTTAAGTGAACCGATCCACCACCTCCAATGGCTGACTGTAGATAGTTGAAATCAGTGGCGTATCGGCTCAGTCCTACACAATAGTTTGCATTGTGAAGGTGCGAAACACATGTCAAAGTGTGCAGTCAGTTCAGTTAATAGTGCTCGCACAGTTACTGTGTCCGACCCGAGAACAGATATAATCAGCACCCTCCAGGTGAAAGGTGATCACCTGGTAGAAGTTGCACTCCAGAAAAAACTAACAGAACCGAGTCATTTATGATTATTTCGAACATAAATTTGAAAGTGAGATATAGGACAAACCTGTTAAACCCAATTTGTCGTGGGAACCCCAGAACCCGGGCTAGGGAGCCGCCATAGAGAAAGTAAAAAATGAAAATTTTCTAGGTGTGGCATCTAGGAACATGCAGTGCGCGATCAACAGAGTCTAAAGTGTTTATTAGGTAAAAGAAAACCCCTGTAGTCGGTAGTTTGTAAGTCAGTCGATGCTCCAACGCTTGGCGAGGAGTGGATATGTTGTCGATGTAGTTCCGAGCAGAGTGAAAGCCAGTCTAGAGATCAATGGTTCGGATCTCACGAGGAACTGTAAGCCGTTAAATAATGGTATCCGTGATAAGTTTGAAGGCAGTGAAAGTAAGGCTAATGCCTCCGTGGTTCTGGCACGAAGTCCGTCAACTCATTTTGACGGATCGGAAGTGTGAAAACTATCGCAATAATTCACGGTTTAGTTAACGCCGTGCCCTTTAAATAGGCTAGCAGAAAGCACGTGGCTTAAAGATCGCGAATTCCTTAAGACACCAGACATTTAGACACAACACCGCATGGTCTCTCTCAAACTACCAAACAATAGGTTGCATTATTACTCACTTGTTGCCACCATCAAAATGGTAGCTACAAGACAAGGATGATAAACAAGGAAGAAACGTCCTTGAAAATCGTTCTCCAGCCCTTGATCAGCAATGGTTGATGCAACGTGAATATGGAGAATCTTACAAATGTATACTGAGTGTTGCTTCATCCGTTACAGTCCTAGTAATCAAATCGGCCAAGGTTGATTTGAAGGCGCGCACACAACGAGTGCCTCGAAATGACCCTGCAATTAGTCAGTAAACCGTTTTAACAAACGTTGCCCATCGTGACCCAGTAACCAAAAGGGTGGAGGTTACGGCTAATATTCCACTGCTCCCGGGGGTTCGATGTCTCTGCTATCACTGCCTGATGAGATCAAATAAGTTCCAAACTGGTCGGGGAGTGCTGTCTTCGCGGACGGGCAACGCCCAATTTCTATCTGCTTCATCAGTTACAGCCCCAGTGATCGAATTGACACCAAGGTACACTTTAATGTGAATCGCTGTCCATAGTGAGATTGCGTATCGCAATGCATCCACACAACGAGTGCTCCAAAATGAACTCTTCAATAAGGTTTGAAAATGTTTAAAAACAAATTGGAAGCTGCACCGGATTCGGATGGTAAGAGACGCTCTTGTCGTTACCGTTCGGTGAGTTGAATTGTGATTTACCTTCTGAAGATTTCTGGAAGCATTTCGACCAACTTAAGTCGTGAGTAACAAAGCTATACCTGCTTTTACTGGAACAATGGATTCAGCTCTAGTAAGTATTGAAATTTTTATGTAGCAAAAGAAGGGAGTCGGCAAAGTTTGCTGAATATGCTCATATTAATAAGCTTAGACGACCATCATCACCCACATCTGTAACAAAGGTGATCATGGGGTCGTTCCGTGCCTGAGTTCAGCTCAGCCGCAACGAGGTGGAAGAGGATACATCACTCGCCGAAAAACGAACTTCACATAATTTTAATGGGAACGCATAGGTACCGGACATTACACGGCTGATACTTCGGCTGGACTAGTTTGCACACAGTGCTCGGTGCTGTAGTTTGGCACAGTGATGTTTAACAAACGTGAACACCTTAGAAAACAATGTTCCTCCCAAAATTGGGATAGCATGGGAAAAGGTAAAAGTGACAGCCACGGCCAGTGTTCAAAGCTGCAGTGAGGTCTATGGACGCAGCCATTGTAGTTGCATCAAGGAAAAAATTGCGCGTCTCCGACGACAGTTAAATGCGGTACAGCGCTGGCGTTTGTCGGGAACACACAACGAACAATGAGCAGTTCCTTCAGTCGTGGCTTGATAACACACCAAATGCAAGGGTGACTTCCTGAACTCTAGGCATTCCTCGGATGTTTACTGACAAATGCGCATCGCTTGCCGTTGCCACAGCTGGGGTTGCAGGGCACTGGGTGAAAAAGTGCTAAATGAAAGGGGGGAAGCTAGTTTTCATGGGTAGTATCGGTCCCATTAGGGGTTAGATGCCCAGTCCACTATTGGTCATTTCGAGTGGAAAATAAGCAAAGTCAAACAGAGGAGGGAAACTGTTGACCGAAATGAGGCCAAGGGACGCCGTAGACACGGTGTAGCATCCGGAGGCACCTAAGCTGTCCATGAAATCAGGAATGACAAGAGGTAGACCGAAAACGAGCGACAAGATAGATAACCCAAAGCAATCGCGGGATAATTATTAAAACAAAAAAATGCTGGGCAGGCAAATGTGTCACATGGAGCATGATGCTGCTAGGTGAAAAGCAAGTTGACAAAGGTGACATGAGAGCTAAGCGGTCACCAAAAATCGAATTGATAACATAACCCAGGATGAGTAGAAATACGAGAGAAAGATCGGAGAAGACAAACCATTGTGTTTACGGTGCTGGTAAAACTGTTACTGATAATGACGGTAAACAATGATGCGTGGCAGTTGCACAATAATAATAATAATAATAATAATAATAACAACAACAATAATAGTGTGAGCACTGAGGTGAAGTGGAACTAGTTGTCATAAGTAAGTGTGCACATGAAAATAGCAACTAACTTATCAACGGAAAATGTGGTACGACCGCATATCACTTGGGTTTCTAGTTGGTGACACTTCTGGGTCTACGTCCAAGATAGTCTGCGTCTTACCCATATGATATACTCCATTAGAAAAATAATAGCGATAAAAGTCAGCTAACTGCACATGTCACCTTTTGATGCTCGGACCATTGCTGACTGGCAGGTGAACAGAAAGAGCTTATCCAACCGGATACTAGCGTGGTATCCAGTTAAACTGTGTAAAGGCCGATACGGAGTTCGACATATCCTCGATGATTCTGCCCTAACTGATAATGAGTAGGAGGACCTGATGCAGTACGCTTATCAGAGTCTGCGAAATTGCCTTTGAGAATCACTGCTCGAGTAATGCAGTCGGATGATTGAACAAACATAGATGTAGACATTCAAGATGTAATGGGTTAATTTGTGGACACACATGATATCAATCAGATATTACCGGGTGGGAGCTACGCAGATGTGAGAACAATGATTGACAAAGTACGATCATATGATGAATATGTACAATTCAGTTGTGCAACATTGCCGTCGAGTGTCCATGTTAGACAAATGCGTAGATGTGCATGAATAAAGGCGCTAACTGTCAACCGAACTAGGCTAATCATACGAGACAGACCGCAAAGACTGAATATAAGACTAAGGATGGAAAACTGACAAATGTAAATGTTAACAAAGAAAAGTAAAAAATCTGAAGAGAGCATGGGGGCCGATATAGTGGTGACTTACGTTGGTCGGCTATACAGAACATGCAATCGCTTGGAGTACGACTAAGGAGAACAGCGTCATAAGAACAGCAGGGAATGCAGCTGCCAGAGGCGGTTGGATCGCCCATTTCAACCATGCTAACTTGAGGGATGTTGGTCGTTAACGGATGCAGACAGCGAGGAGATGCGCCGTGGACGGAGCAGCTGGTGCAGTCGGAGTCCAGTGGGCCAGTACAAGAGGAACAAGTTCCGTCACACGGAAAACACAACTAAAAACGACGGACAATGTGAGATGTAGTACTCTTTCGGAGGTAGGAACAAGATCGTAGACAATTTTCTGTGAAAGAGCATAAAGTACTTTAAAGCAATCAAAGTGATCGTAAATTGAAGGCATGTGTTTCAATCCGCGCAAAATTGAATCGCACTTTTATGAAGGATAGATATGGAATGTTCGATTTTGCGGACGACTGGTGGTAACAGTGAAACACTCTGAACGATTGGGAGCAAAGAAGAGTGCAGCAGATGCAACCATGAGCTGTCACTACTTTGCTTTAGTGAGACTCCATTGCTTCTGAACTCACTTGGGGTTTTCGTAGAGTAATTGACACTAGTGCGCGCTAACTTAAAAGTCTTAAGCGATGTATCGCGTGCAATCCAACCGGGTGGCTCAACAAATACAAGGTGCCCAACAAGTGTGGACTACTCATAGTTGAGGACGTGTGTCTACAGTTTCTATGACGAAAGAGGATGTTAAAACATTTCAACGTATAACGGTGCACAGAAATAGACAGCAAACGCCCACACAAATATAAAAATTGAGACTAACCTGCAAGAATTTAGCAAAAGGGCCAAATAAGTCTCTTGCGAAACATATACTCACAGGCGACTCAGTTAAACCGGGATCGCACAATGGCCTGTCCCTTCGGAGAACATCAAAAATGATACTGAGCGACGACGGATATAATTAGCATTGGTATTAAGCTAGCGGGGTTGCCATAAGCTATCGTCAGTTAAATTGCCTGTAAAAGCAGAGCATATCTTTGCGTCCGACTGGGGAAACATGGAGGAAGAAGTTCACTATGGACGGCGCCGGAATAGACGGTAATAAAGCAGTCCCACCCTCATGCTCTCAAGCCACCAGTGGCTCACGAACATTGCTGCTTCTTTTGTAACCGAAGGTTCCTATGTAATTTTAGCTTTGAAACATCATAAGCTTCCTAGCCCAAACAAAATTCGTTAGATCATTTAAAATTAAAAAACCGACACTTTAAAGAACCGCTTTCTAAAAAGTGCGGGTATCAGAAAAATTCCAGTGGGACAGAAATGCAACAAGTAGCATCCGGACACTCAAGAGGTGCCCCGACAAATCAATGAGCAGTGGTCGCAATCCGTGCTGTATATGCGAGGTCGAACGATAAGCGTCATGCAAGTTAAATAACAGACCAAGATTCGGGGTTACCTGGAGATCCGGTTAACACTCTAAGGATTCAACAAGCTTTGTCACATGATACGTATTTGGTGTAACTCCATTAAGAAAAGAGCGAAACGGTCGACGAGCCCGTTCAAACATGCAAAACGGTTTTCCCAAACTCCGAGGAGAATCAAAAAGTGTGGTGGTCCCTCACATCCCTTCAGAACTAGCGGCGAATATCCGCGGGACCACGGATAACTGCTCGGAACGAGTAAACCAAGTGATCAAACACTGCTTAACACCTTACTGTATGCTTCCGAGCTGCAACCAGTAGTGCTCTACTGTCCGCCCAGAAAAGGTCTAGTTTTGATGGGAAACAGCAGCATATCTTGGTGATACGGCGCACCTAGTAAATAGCACCCTTTCAGAGTAGTCAATGACAATCAAGCTTCACCAGTGACGGATGGCCGGCCCCAGGACTACGGGAAAAGCTGATAACTAGTGTCAGAGGAGTGTTAACCGTGGACGGAAGTTTCGTGCACAATGCACATACAGACATGGTATGAGAGCTCAAAATGTGTTCGCTAGTATTGACAGCCCACTTCTGAAGCGTCGTGGGCTTCTCAGGGTCAGAAGGATCACAGCGTGAAGAGAAGAAAGAGGGGAACTGGTGCAAACCGCCCCCTGCAATTCACCAAGTAGAAAGCCGGCGAATTGAGAGGTTACGTGCCTAAACTGATAGAATTTCGACGGTGACCGTTTCGAGGAGTCTGATAATTAAACTAACATGCCAAAATACCAAAAGAACAGTAAAATAATCGAATTTGATGTTATCGGTCAATATCCGAGTGGTTCGGGCGTTTGGTTGGCGGTTTACAGAGCGCCGATTCGACCTTGCTCGTGTGGTTAGTAAAGTACCGACGTACTGTCGACACCTTAAGGTGGTTGTTTGATGTACAGTGTTAAATTAAGTTTGATGCATTTTTATACGAGGGTCATTCAATAAATAAGGTGAATTTTTCGGTATGAGGACTTCTAATACAGATAGAAGCCTACTTTTGTTTATTTTTGTTGTTTTACTTTTTTTCACATGGATGTAATTTCTTTTGCAGATTGAAAAAAGCTTTGAGAGTTGTAGCGATTAACAAAGATGGCCGACCAAGAAGCATGCTCCAGGATTGAACAGCGGTCAGTTATCAAGTTTTTGGTTGCTGAAGAGTGCAAACCAGTTGAAATTCATAGGAGAATGTTGACTGTCTATGGTGCCACATGTTTCAGTCGAAAAAATGTCTACAGGTGGGCAAAATTGTTTAAAGAAGGACGGAGCAGTGTTGAGGATGAAGACAGGCCTGGGAGGCCCACAGAAGTGAGGTCTCCTGAGGTGATTGAATCAGTCAGTGACATCATTCAGTCCGACAGAAGGGCGACAGTGTGCCGCCCCAACAGATAAGCTCAAAGTCCTTGCAATGTCATCCACTGTCACCCTCCTATCCGACTGAATGATGTCACTGACTGATTCAATCACCTCAGGAGACCTCAGTTCTGTAGGCCTCCCAGAGCTGTCTTCATCCTCAACACTGCTCCGTCTTTCTTTAAACAATTTTGCCCACCTGTAGACATTTTTCGACTGAAACATGTGGCACCATAGACAGTCAACATTCTCCTATGAATTTCAACTGGTTTGCACTCTTCAGCAACCAAAAACTTGATAACTGATCGCTGTTCAATCCTGGAGCATGCTTCTTGGTCGGCCATCTTTGTTAATCGCTACAACTCTCAAAGCTTTTTTCAATCTGCAAAAGAAATTACATCCATGTGAAAAAAAGTAAAACAACAAAAATAAACACAAAGTAGGCTTCTATCTGTATTAGAAGTCCTCATACCGAAAAATTCACCTTATTTATTGAATGACCCTCGTAGTTTCGAAGTGTTTTCCAATATGATACGTACAAATCCAGTATCCAGAGAGTGCAACAAGGCTGGTTATTCTGAGGCAGACACGAAAAGAATAAGACACACTTACCCGCTGGTCTGTGTCAAAGTACTCCGTTTGACGACAAGTTGGACCCAATACACATGATGCAGTCTGCTCCTCCAAATAAAATGGCGGTCGACAGCTCGAGCAGTGTGCTTCGTCTGAAAGCATAAAATGGTAGTGGTAAAATCTGTCCGGAAAAGAGGATCGAAACGTCTAAGGAACAAATTAGGAAGATCTGAGTGAAATAAGACTCAATGACCTCGTCGCTACGTACTTGCTGAACCGGTAATTCGGTGAATAATAGTGTCACAAGAGCAATCGAACCAGTAAAGCATTTGTGTTTTCTCAGATGTTGGACAATGAACAGAGCGGCCGCTGGCAGCAATAACCCCGCGGAAAGGCAAAAGACTTCATTTAACTAACAACTAATATCGATGAAGTAAAGAGCCTTCCAACATATCTCTGTGCAGTGCGAGAGAATTCGTCTGCTGACAGTCAATATTGGAGAACTTCATGAATGCAAGTCGATCTTGATGAAATTTCGGGAATAGAAACTGAACAATCTAAGGTAGATTATAGTGAGAAATGATATAGTATGATATGTGCTTTAATCGCAGCACAAAATACTGCTTTTATGATGATCCTTCACGCAGCAGACTGCATCTTATGCGTTAACAAGCAATACGACTTAGCATATAGCCAGCTGTCCCAAAAGTGTGTACATAAAGACGAATACATACACGTAAATAATTTGAAGAAACGAGTCAGAAATGAAGAACAGAGGGTATCGATAAAGCAAAAGTTCCAACATACATTAAAAAATCCATACTACACAGGGGTCTTCTGTGCTTAGAAATTTCGTAGCAAAACCTACCGAGACATGTGGCGCATGTCTGCGGACAGGCACGACACACAGACTCCTCACCGGATCCGGTGAGGTAGCTACCACGAGGACACGCTTTGGTACAGGCGTACGAATGTGTGCCAACCACGTAGAAATCTTGGGCAATGCTTGGCGCGTCGACCGCAACAGAACGACCGTATGGACTTGGTGTGACTTGAGTTTGTATCACAAATTCATCGACAACCAGGTGGTGTGGCGGTGTGCAACGCAGACACTGTTGCGGCCCGGGAAAACAGGTGGCGCATTCCGGACTGCAATTGGGACGTGTTCTACATAAAAGACAAAATAGTTGGAGTAACAAGGCCGAACACAGATTAAACACATGCAAAGATAATCGCGGTTGAAGAACGGCAGATTGGTTCGGGCGGATTGGCAATTCCTGTTGGTCATACAATCCACTAGTTGTTGCTGCCAGACGAATATACAAGTAGTTAGAATGAAATCGGCGAAACAAAGCACCATTACGATGACGGAGGCGCAAAGCACGCGATTCGATTTAGAATCCGATTAATGATTTAGACCTAGTTGTGTGACCAAGCACAAGATTATTGCACAACTAGTAAAAGAATCAATGATTCAGGTTAATGCACCACGTATGCATCATAGCGCAACATCATGTTCAACATACGTCCGTGGTGGTAGGTTGAGACAATAACCACGCTGTTAGTGCGCACACAGCCAAAACTTGTAAGATGCGGATATGTCGCACACGCATTAATGCGGATGAAGTGCGAACAGCTTCCCAATGGCTGCGCTTTATGCAGTGGTGAGGAAATGGATAATGCCCATGTGTCTATCATCAATTTCACCGACATGTAAAAAGTCTTCGATGGAGTGCTGCACGAGCACCTGCTGAGCGGAAATGTCACCAGATCATTTGGATGCCTGATGAAGACCATGCTTTTGCTGATCGCAGTCAACAAGTTGAGTTAGGGATCCACAAGTCATCATCACTGCCTATTACTGATGGTGTGATCCAAGGGAATATCGTTGGCCCTCTGCTCGTCTTGATGTACATCAATACTATGACAGATGGTAATCCAAATGGGATACCCTACTTTGTTGTTTATGAGGTTAAGTATTGCGCACCTTAAATCACACAAGTCTGAACGACACATTGGAAAAGATAAGGAGAGACTTATTGATTCAAGAAACATGGTGCGACAACTGGCAAATGCCTCTTGCTGCGGATAAATGCAGAATATTAATGCAAAATTAATACAAACACTTTGTACCTGTGCGGAAAGCCAATTCCACTCCGTAACACAATCCGAGACTTGGGTATTCAAGCAGCCAAAGCACGCCAGATAGTGAGGTTAATCTTTAAATCAATCGTATTGCGTGACCCCAAGGTTCATATGTTCAAGATTTGTGGGGGCCCTCTGTTGGAATACTGCCCGGTGATATTAGTCGGTTGTAAGAAACACGTTCATATTTAGAGAACACTCAGCGTCGATTCACCAAAGCACTGTTGAGTAAGTCTCCAACGCCAAACTGTTGCTTAAACTGGAGCTTTTGTGGTCTCGGAGAATGAAACTGAGTCTGAAGTTGCTGATCGACATAGCGCACAAACAAGTATTGGCTCCGCACAGTTGTATACATTTCAAACATAATAGAAGGTATTACATCAGGAATAAGAAGAATTCGCTTACAGCAAGCAGAACTAAAATAGACATACGCAAGAAATTTTACCTGACAAGGTACTTGGAACAGGCTACCTAATGAACTGCGGCTCTGTGAGTCCAAGTAATCGTTTGGAAAATTCTGGATAAGCACCTCACTAGGTTGCAAGTCAGAACGCTGATGAAACTAGACTGCAGAACTGAAACAATGTATAAAAAAGAGCTCTAAAGGCACTCAGTGACGACATGGCATGATAACGTGTGCAAACTGTCTGAATAGTACCTTCGTCGTTTCGTTAAAATTTAGTTTTCGCCCATTCCAATGTCAGGTTGTTTCGTTCCGCCACGCCAACCTGACAGATTTTTTTTCTTTTTTTACATGTGTGTCGAACTGTTATCTCTCCTGTTGTCTAGGAGAAAACAACTCGAGCAAGGCGGAAGCCAGCCCGTATTCCAATGATTCGGTTCTCACGGGGACCACTAAGTCGTCAAAGGATGAAACCTGTCAGAAGCTTGATGGCAATGAAAATAAGGCCAATGCCTCAGTGATTTTCGCACAAAGTGCCCGTTTGTAGCCTTAAGTATCCCAAGCCCGTTTTGTAATCTGAGGGCGCGAGTTCGAGCCTGTATATGGGACCGGGCGACCCTCGCAGTATCCCTAGCCCACATGCGACTGATGATTAGTGCACGGCGGCGAAGAGTTGGTACTGCGTACCGGCACACGGCTGATGATTTTTTGGTGGGACACATCGACAAATAGGGTGGAATAACCTGCGTTGATTCGAATAGGTGTGTGACTCGTGGCTAGCCCAAATGGTGCGTTTGCTGCTACGTACTACTCATAAGGACTGTTTGAGTTTCATAGGATGGTTATCTGTGTGACAAGTATAGGGGTACGACAACGGTAATGGAACTTCACTAATGCCATTCTGTTCGCGTGTGTGCAACCATTTTTGGTGAATGAGTATTTCTTTCTGAAGTTCAGGTTATACAGTGTTATTTTCTCACTTCTCACTATTCTTATCCGCATGATAAGTATGGGCTCTGCCAATGAGGCATAGGTGCAAAAGAATGAGTAAAATGATACTCAATATACCGGTTCCAAGCTACAGCGCTGGAGTACAAGTGCCGCTGGGTGACTGATACACGACCCCAGAGTATGGGGCAGCTACAGTTTTGAAGAGTCCGGATCCAGCCCAATTAGGAGTGCTGCCGAGTGGATTGTTGCACAGAGCTATCCAGTGTGGTATGCAGCTAGGATCAACAATTTTCTGAATCAAAGATTACTCGGCATCATTATGCGCAAAGTTAATGCATGTAGGATTTAGCAAAGCAACAATACTGAGCGCCTAACGGCAACCGTAAACTTAGCGATAGGAAAAAAACGTGAAATATCGTAGTGATTATGTAGTTCGTTATAAAAATAATTAATATACTATTTGTAAGGAAGTAATTTTAATACCAGTAATCCGTGCTGTTTCGCCGTTACACGGACGATACATTGATCATTGGTGATCAAGAGGAGTAACTAGCGCAACTGAACACCGGAGTAAATGAACTGCACCAAAACATCAGGGTGACAGCAGAGCAAGAGCATAATGATAACGTGCCGTTTGTTGACATACTGATCGAACGCAGAACTGATGGATGGGTACCTAGATCGGTATACCTAAAGCCAATGTAGAAGGGACAGTGTTGAAAATTCCATAATTATGTACTCAAACAGGGATTGGTGCAAACCCTGTTGGACAAAGCAAGAAAAATCTGCGAGCCAGACACGCTAGACGAAGAGGTGCGATTCAGTACTAACACCCTAATTCCAAATTCTTGCTTCGCTCACTTCAATAAGAAGATTGAGAAAGAGAAGGTGTCCACCGTGCCAGAGCTTAAACTTACACTGAAGTTACCATTTAGTTGGAGAGGATGTAAGCCAATTATTTCAACGGTGTTTGAAATCTGCGGTTGCACGAGTGTACTCCGTGGCGCAACACGTACTGGTATACACAACGACGCACATTCCGACACCTTCGGTTAAACCGCAGCTGCCTCAGTCCAGCCATTCACACATTTACATATTTATATGTAATTGCAAGGCCAGTCACATAGGTATGATAGAGCCAATTGCGGGTGGGAATTGCGGAGCATATCCCAGCGTGGGTCAAGAATCCTCTCGAATCTAACCCCGTCCACCACCCCAGGTGCGCAACCAAGGAACGCAAGCGGTCAAGCATACAAGACGTCTGCATCATCAATGGCCTGCCATCTGCTGACAGACAAACAATGTGTTGACCCTACGCATATGTTCAGTGTGATCTACGCAACAAACAACACTCTTGTGCTCTGATACGCTGATGCGGTCGGGATCAAATAGCTTGACCCTAGTTTGTGTGTGCAGAAGGACGCGTTCGTCACAATGGCTTTGCCCTATTAAGAAGCCAGTAGACAGATGAAGGATTGACGACATTACGTGTGTCCGTATGCGTGTGTACATAAGTTAGCGAATTTGCTATCGCAACTGTGTTAACTCTTCATGAGGCTATAAATGTTCACATGTCTGTAGTGCGCAGTTGACAATATGCAGAGAAATTTGTCCGGAACTAAATCGTGCGGTGCTTTGGTGTTAACGTTTTTAAGGAAAATTTCATCGGGGAAGGGTTGCCTTAATCTTAATATCTTGCAAATGAAAACGTCAGAAGGCGAAGACTATGGGATGACACTACCATTTCGTGCATACTCCTCGGCCACGTACATGCAGCTAACAAGGTTTCGAAACATGGTCAGAGGAAATTGATTGGTGGTCAAAGTTTTCCGATTAGTGCGTTACATCTCAATAAGGTGGACTTGGTGTCATTGTCAGGGTGGTGGGTGCTGTTGATCGATAACAATGATCTCGAGGAGTCTGAGCATACGAGGGCTTTGACTACACATGAGGACTGTGAATGACTCATCCGGGTTGGTGACCGGTTCTCATCAAATGACTCGTGACTGCGGAGGCAACTTTGCTTCTCGATTCACCGGGTGCGACCGTCGCGTGTCCCATCCGCATACGGAGCCACTATGGAATGTGCTCAATTGATACGGACACTACGATTTTGATCAATGCACCCAACATAGCCGTAGCACAGCTACATGCGAAGTTGTGTGGGCACTGGGACGTGCGCTGTGTCGAAACTGCTGTCTTCATTGGACACTTAAGCAGTGGTCTTGTGGATAGGACCAAGCATAGCACCGACGCATTTTATGCCGTCTCAATGAGGCACTTATTCGTTTCGCGGTGACTCATGTGGTAGTCACCACTGAAAGGCAACTCAATGAAAACCGGTTTCTGGTTTCACTGAAACGCTTTATGAAGTGTAATGGAGAACCATCAGATTGCAGCCCTTTAAATAGCAGCTCTTCCTGTTTCTAGTGTATCTGTGGCGCAAAACAGATCAGCTCGATGGAACAAGTTCGAACTAAGGAATGCTTGTAATGCATGGGCGAAAAGCTCTTAAAATGTAAATATTGACTCGTCCAGGTCGCTCTTCGGCAAGCCGCCTCTAAGTTCTTAAAGCAGGAGTAGCCCTTGTGCGCATAGTTTGTTCGTGTCGTCGACAGACTTCAGATCACAGCGTCAGAGTACGCCTAGATGCTTTACGGAACTGGTGATATGCAACAGGTAGCCGGCCAGGGTGTACGCACGCCCATTACTACTCCTGCCCAAGTTCATAAACGAGGAGTTGACCGGTAGGTCAACTTTTGCAGACCACCAGGATAGGCGGTCGAGGTCCTGCTGGAGGAAGTCACAGTTGTCGGGAGAATCAATAATCCTCCAAATCTTCAGGTCGTCCGCAAATAATGCGCAGAGCGACGGAAGAAGCTGAGGTACTTCATTAATGGGTCCCAGTACTGTGCCTTGAGGTACACTGCTAGTGGACGAGTACCATACCGTTAGGTGGTCATCCAGCTGAACCCGCCATCTTCTCCAAACAAGGAAGTCACTGATCCACTGGTGCAGTGCGCCACCAACACCACACATTCTCAGTGTGTGGAGCATCACCGCTTGGTTCACTTTATCGAAAGTTTTAATGAAATCAATGTAGATAACATCCACTGGCTTCCCCTGATTCAACGCTTGTAAGCATTCCTGCCGCGTCAACAGCAGGTTGGTGATGCACGAACTGCCCTCCATGAAGCCGTGCTGTGCCGGCGTTAGATCTTTCGACTCCAGCAGCTGGAGAAGACCCTTTCTCACAATCTTCTCCAGCACCATCGCGAAAACAGAGGTGAGACAAATCGGCTGGTAACTGCCCACATTGTGTGGGTCATCGCCTTTTGGAAGCGGCTCCACTACCGAGCATTTCCAGTCGTTCGGCAATGCACCCTCGGACAGCGATCTTCTGAACAGATCCGTCATGGCAGGCGAGATGATAGCCCATAACGACTTCAAAATTAGTTGAAGTCCATCGGGTCCGGCAGGTTTCGTGCCGTCAAGATTGGCGAGTAGACTGCGGACATCTTCTACACCGCAATCCACACGTCGAGCTCGGTATAGGCGCATGTCCACTTATACATATGGAAGCGAAGTGCTCCGCCAATGCGGACGCACGTTCGTTGCTGGAGGCCAGAGGCTGTCTGTTAGTGTCCTCTAACGCAGCTACGTTACTAGCGGACCTCAGGTGCCGCTTCACGTAAGTAAAATCTACTTGGGACCGTCTTCGCTGAGGTTGCAAAGTCCTCTTCGAACTGAGACGCTAACGCGCTGTCGCATAGATTCCGCTGCATTTTGTATGCGTTATAATCGTCGGCAGAGCCAGACACGAGACGCGTCACCGTCGAGCCAATTGATTTTACTCTGTCAAACCAATATGGTTTCACTGGTCCAGTTTTTCAATACTTGAGGGGTACGAAACGAGTGCACAACAAATGCAGACCTTTTATAACCGATCAACAAGTTTTAACAGATGAATGCTGCGGCAGCGACCAGTCTGCTTCACTGGCGGCTCGATTTAGACCATTGAAGTCGATCTTCCAATAATTGTAGGACGGCTCCGGCGGACGCGAGTAGGGCAGCGGCAGCTCTAGGTTGGCTAACACCGTTGAGTGGTCACTAGCTGCCATAGGCTCCAGGGCCTGAATTTCGTGTACACGCTGCTCGCAACTCGCTAATAGTAGGTCCAGGGACGATGGAGCGGAATGCGGTATTAACGTGCGTCGGTTGGCAAACCTGTGCTGCCCCCGTTTCAATTACCACCTCCGCAAACTGCGCCTCGACTTCACAATGCCCGGGAAGAAGTTGGGCCTCAGACCACAGTATTCGAGGGGTTAAAATCGCCCATAACCAGGAAGCAGGGCCGAATCATGTAGTCTCTGGCAAGCGGCAACCAATCCAGGCATTAAATTCGCAGGCTGCGATAAGCCGCACCCAAACAATTCACCCTGCCTCAGGCGGATCGAGCACCATAATTGTTGGCACAGGCCATCTTCGCTGCGGTAGGTGTGTACCAGTCTCCCGCACAGCAAGGAGCGAATGTATAACAGCACGCCGCCTCGATCGTTTGATAGCCTGTCGCACCAAATGCAAGAGTAGCCCCTGATCTGGACTTCCTGGGTAGTGAGCTCAGGATACAACCAGGTTTCGGACAGTCCTACTACAGCCGGATGACGAGGCAATGAAGTGAAATACATCGTCACGTTTGTTCATTAAACTACAAACATTTGTGGAGGTTAGGCACAGGCCGAGGTAGGAACCTGCGAACGCGCATGAAGCGTCATCGATCTGTTGATTCGGGTTCGGTGGACCCGCAGAACTACCCGAAAATTTACAAGGTGGAGGTTGGTTTCCTCACTATCAGTCCGCTGCTTCAAGTCCATGATAGCGGACTTCAGTTTCTCTATGTCCGACGAATCTAAATAGGGACGAATATGGAGCATTAGATCTCTTAGCCTACCGAAGCGCGATAGTATCAAGCTCGGACTCGTTGCAGTAACAAACGTGATTCGCAGAGGCCGGGATTTCCCATCCTCTCTCTTTCCAAGACGAGTGATTTGCTTCACCCGCAACCCCTGTTCATTCACGTAGAGAAGCCTATCAATCAGGTTCGGCAGAAAAAGCACGTCGTGGTCATAACGAACCTGAGAACTAGAATCCGTCGACTCAGGTGCGTGAAATATCGTAAGGTTAAAAAGCCGCTGACTGCTGGCAGTCGTCTTCACCTTTTTGCTTCCTTGCATTTTCCATTGGCCTTTACCGCCTGCGCTATCGCACACCGGTATGCTAGTGTCCGTAGAACGTAACACAGGTATACCGACTGAGTCTCCAGCAAAGGGTGGACATCGCTCTGGAGAGCCTGCGGTTAGTGGGCTCGTTCGAACACAGAGGTGGCTGGGTTTCCGCTTGCTTGGATTAACTCACGGAGCTCCTCCCAATGGAACGTTTCGTCCGTCTTGTAGGCTCACGTGGCTTCTCGGCTGTTAGTGACTAAACAGTGGCCTGGGATTGTTTGAACAATATTTGGACAAGGTCATGCTGGATTTCACATAGTAGTTTAAGATGATCTAAAGTGAAACCAATACACGAAATGTGGAAATTCACACGACACATAAGAGCATTGGCTCTATGCCCAACTATTTTGCAACAAGTGCCACAGGGAGTCAGCTTCGTCATTACGGATAGCTTAGTGGATGTGACGGCAAAGGTGATAAATTGAACGATAAGTACCCGATACAAATACCAGAGTAAAATATACGGACACGAAACTAATGTACAATAAACAAATTCTGAATCGCAAAAGAAACTGAATTTCACAAAGATAAAGAAGAAAAATCTGCTCTACACCAAGTATTGAACGATGCAAACTGGCATGTCAAACAAGGCGAGAAAAGCCGTCCGGCGAGCGCTACTCGCAGGCGCGTGGGGGGGTGGGATGAGTAATTTCCACAATGGTCCTACCTTTGTCTCAGAACGGTTAAGAGACTAACATGCAAATGAATAGCATGGTGACTCGAGGGAAGGCAACGGAATTCATCGTGTTAAAACGCATGGGCCACAACTGAAGAAGTTGTTCGTTATTGTCAGTGCGATCGGCGACAATCAAGAATCATTATGGATGAATCTTCCCCACAAGCACGCAGACGATGGTGGAGGCTTGCGTGCTAATTGTGAAGAAGCTGGAGCAGCACTGATTTTAAGTGCATCGGGGAACAACAGGTTTCAGTTGTTGATTTGTCAATACATTGATTACATTACATCAGCCTGGTAGCCTACACTACAGGTGCGGTTTATGGTGACTCGTGCTACAACAGAAGCCTATAAATGTCAGGCATGTGAAACCCAGCGATGCGAGAAAACTCACTCAGAGTTGATGCATCGGCCGTGTTTTAATTCCAATCCTGAAAGGCACGATAAACACTTGTTCCAGCTACTGCATAATGTACACCCCGGAGGACAAGGATGACATCGACGGGGGCGAAGCGTTGAAGCGTATGGTGTCAACGGCGTGGTCGATGAGATAGGATAAGGGTTGGGAATTGCTGACCCGGCGTACCAACTGGGTGGGCATGCCTTCGAGCACGTGCCATTCAAAAGAAAGCTTGGAAAAGCAGATAAAGCAAAGTATTCACGGTGCAAAGCTCGGGAATCTAGCAAAGCAGTAACGAATGTGTACGTGAGTAATGTCACGAGAACTGAAAATGGCGCACAGCGCGAAAGCCTGATGCTGAGATGAGTAGACTTGTGTAAACCGGAAGTTGTCGAACTTCTTACTAATGAACAATGGGTAAAATGCAACTTATAGAAAGAATGACCTCTGAGATCACTAATGGCTTATCACTAGATTAAGGTACTTGAATAAGCTAAGGGAAAACACAGCGGAAGCATTGATATGAAACTGTACAAACGAACAGTGAGAGGATGAGGATATGATCACAGATCATTACTGAGTAAACGCTAACAGAATTGCGAAATACCTGAAATCATATTCAATAAGAAATACATTTACACTAAGGAATAAAGTAAAAACCAAGTACGCGGGTATCCGGATGTGAGTAACCAATTAAGAAAGCTTTTTGGGCCGATCCAAGGTAAAGTAGATGGAAAATTAACAGTGTTTGCGGGTGTGACCAAAGTCCAGACATGCGTGGATGGAATTACCACGACCAACATACAAGCGGAGCTGCATCACCGGGAAACTTGGTGCATAAAGTGAGAAATTCGTGTTCTCATAGGACAAATGCAACTGTATACGGCATCAATGCAGTGTCTCACCAAATGCAGTGACGGCGGATGCTAGAGCGCTACCCGCACGCCCCACAATCGACGACTATGGTTCCTTCAATTGCACTCAACAAGTTAAGTACACAAATGTAAGCGCATGTAGACTGGGAGAACTGACATTAAAAATTTTTCACCCAACGTGGATCAAGAAGTTTACCTATACACGTCCTAGATTAAAATATTGTTCTCCAGGATATTCCAACCATGGAATAACTTGACAAGATTGGAATAAAAAACACACAGTCCTCTTTCACAAACATCCCACTGCTAAATTCGGTAGTCCTGCACGCCAGAACCGCTGCTATGGAACTGAAATTACATCAATCTTGCTAAACAGGCTAAAACTAATGTGCTCTATGTTTGATATGACGACGTCGATGTGACATTCCAACCATATGTTAAGTCCAATGTGATGATTAAATGTAACACGGTATCTTTCGCAAAAGTACGGCTTGCCAGCAAATTTCCCTCCAGTATGCGTTTATGAAGTCCAGTGCGAATGCAAGAACGTTTCGCGATAAACTTGGAAAATGTCTGAACCAGAATTATGTTATGTTCCACTCAAAAAAATTGCGGCACAGTAGCTGAGGTGTTTCCTACCTCCAGCTAACGTGTATAATGATGAATAATAATGACACAAAAAATTGACAAATGAATTCATGCAAAGATAGATCAAGTAATACATAGCCAGTGGGAAAAAAGCTACACAAGGTTCACAACCAACAAAAGCGCGTCTCAGAATGTCTTAACAAAGTCGACAAATTGGACGCCCATGTCACTCATACACCAGAATGAGCATAACTATACTAATGGTTTGATTCTATTATAGGAACAAGCTTTCGCACATCCGGGAAACAGACTTGTTATTATAACTACTATAAGTCATCAAGAAAAAGTCGCTACAGAGATTGAGAACGTAGGATTTCCAGAGAGATTTCGCAGCGTAATTAACATGTATTTGAAAGAAAATGAAACAAAGAATGCATTCAAAGTAAGCGTAGATTTAAGTAGGTAAAATCGAAGAGGTACTCTACCTTCGCCTCGACGAAACACGATGAGCTTTTGGCAACACCAGCACACAGAAATACGCGCAAACCACGGTATTGTCTACACCTAAATTTGAGTTGCTCCATTCCTTTTTATCGGATCAAACCCCCCTCCCTCTGTGTGTGCACATGAGAACCACGCGCAAATCGGAAAGATAAACAAGTGATTCCGATCCTCGACGTTACCTTTCACCACAACGCATCACCATAAACAAAAGGCGTCATCGAGGCCTTGGACCACAAGCGCTACCTGTCACGGTGCAGACCTGGCTCTGTCCTCTGACTGTCGCTCCATCCAACCAAAACGTGGGAAACAGAAGATAAGATTTACCAAACCGAATTGTATGGCGGACGATGGATGATTATGTTCATAGATCACACACCTTCGCCTCTGTCCTCAATGTGACTGCGTTGCTTGACAGATAGACGATCGCCTGTCTGCTCAGGCCCGCACGTACTCGAGGTCGGCCGTGTGCAAACCCGGCTATTCGCCGACCACCTCACGCCTGCAGCACATCAACGCGTGTCGTTCATGACGAACTGGTCCGGTCATCTACCCGCGTGGCCTGCCGCAGCCCGCTTCGGGTCTTGAAATTTTTCCCTGAAGTTCACTCGTTCCGGACACAGCATAATTATAAGTGTAAGGTAATCTGTTTACTTTAGCCCATACATACACGAGGATGCATATCATAAAGAACTGACATGTACCCGTCATGGTACAGTCTCGTTGAATCTATAACAACCCCCTTATTTTTTGAACGGCTCTTTTGGAAATACTGGTTGTGTGAATGGATTGCGGCGCGCAGTCTCAATGTGGACCTCGAGTCACATTGAATTGGACCATAGTGAATTCGAACATTGGAACCGTGAATAAGGAAGCAGATTAACATCGAGTATCACTCAGTGCCTGCTCGCCAACTGCGGAACAAATCTCATATCACCGGCAATATCACCGTCTCGGTGTGCGCGGTGAAACCCTGCCCAACATAACGGAGGGTAAAAACGGGAGCATTTTGTGCATCAGTTCACACGTAACTATGCGGCGTAGCCAAAGTCAGCCATGACCTCAGGTACATGGCTGATGTTCACCGCACACAGCAGCTCCCTCTTAGACCAAAAAATGAAATACGGCTTTGTGCTAGGGCATCAACCACTGTCCGTTCACACCACGTATGGTCAACCAGAACTATATGCTGCTGAACCCGTGTTGCAGCGGCGATGTGGATCATGTGTGTTCCCACCTTATCCTAACACCATTTTCATGCTGTATGTCGTCTTAACTTTGAGTAGCAACGCGTGTATGGAGCCAGTTGGTACGTACACATTCTGTCGGGAACTACGAGGCTCACACACACACACACACCCGGACTCACAAGCCTTACTGGAGTGTGCAAACATTCCACGATGTACGCTTCTCAGCAATCCCATTAATTGACGAGAATAAGACAAGCAAGGAGGTGTAGGACCCAGCATAAGTGCACTTGCTGATGCATGCAATTTGGATACGTTCCGAACAATCTAGATTGTACTACAAAGGATCATAAATGATCTATGGATGAACATGATATATTAACGGATTTATTTGCCTGGGAAATGGTAGTGCCGGACATAGATCACGGGTAAGCACCAAGTATATTCGATGTGCGTGCAACTGCAGACTGCTGGCATTTCTGTAGCAGAGCACGAACGTGGAACGCTGTCGGAGAAACTGTGAAGCGCGACTTCAAGAAAGATGGTTGGTGGCAGGTCACTTAATATCGCACTCAGATAGCGTCAAATTAGGCAAATCCAGTATTGCTGGGGTGGGCATCACCTTGGACGGGGACTATAGAACGTCAGTAGAAGAAATTGGGGTAAGAAAGATGGATAGAAACGTAGTCTGTCCCTGTGATGCATGCAGCAAAGGTTACCTTCTTGAATCCGCGCGATGAACGATGCAGGATGAGGCTAAGGTCTGTTTGCCCAAGTGGGATACTATCGGGGTGCCCTAACGAAGTAGTAAAACATCAACGCCCTCGATCAAAGGTTGTAAAAAAAGTGGCCTGATCGTAAGACAGTGCGCATAAGTCAATGGTCTGCAAAGTTAACTAAACGTAGTGGACTGCACCACAGTTCGAAAAATCAACACAAGGTTTCTAATCACTGACTGGTTGGAATGACTGTTAAGGCACCCGTGAGCACAGCGCAGCATAACTCAATGAATCGGAGAAGTACACAATCTGCCGTACCAAGTTGAGGTTACGTTTGGGCACGACAGCAAGTAAGGAGATGCGGATATTCGCTACTGCGCAGATAGCCACTGGGGGTGAGGTTGGCAAATACCCGGTGCGCATGAACAGTTGAGAAAAGGTGTGCTAAGAGCAAAGACCGGATAAAGGTTATGTTAAGTCAGTAGGGGAGAGAGAGAAAGAAGAATTATAGGAAGTCGACTGCAATGGAATCGACATCGCAAATGACAGGAGGAATCTGAAGCTGGACACCCCAGAGCGTACAGTGACGAAAACAATGAGGGCAATGCAAAACAGTGAGGCATGTGGAGAGTTCAGTAAAGTAGAGACAAGGAAACAAGAAAAAGGAAAGGGGGTGATGGAATTATCAAGTAAGAGAGGACAGGTGGATCTGAGGAACGAATCAGACAACCAATCGGGCAAAGAACGCATTAAGCATAATTATCCGTCAATGTGGCTTTGACGATTCGCTGATGTTTGGGTGCACAAAGGCGAGTTCTCCGTTGTTTGTTTAACAGTCAAAGAAATAACCTAACAATGTATCTATTAATAAAAAAGGTCGGACAACATGTCGACGGGGTTTGCATGCCGAACGTACTGTTACTCGAAATTTGTCTTTGTTGAGTAAGCTGCTAAGCTTTTAAGGACCCACTTTATTGACAGTTCGTTCAATGGGAGATAGTGTGTGCAACTTGGTAATTAGGTTTGGAGGATATCCTGGAAAAGCAAGCACCCAAATTACGTCGGTACGCCTTCAAAATCAACTTTCCTACAGAAGCACATCGACCGACTTGCGGTTCTATCCGAAGTGACAACAGCCATCCTAAGTCGGTAGAAACATGACTATGGTGGATTTAACACCCACGAAACCATGAACGAAGTAACTTGCAGCTACAGCAATTATACATCTGGGTGAGGTTGTCATAGGTGCAAAGACCGGAGGTCAGTTTAGAAACGAAATTGGTTCAAAGTACGGATGTAAGTGATGTAGCGCCTGGTTCGTGCATCAAAGAGGATTTCGGCTCCAAATATGCAAAGACAAACACTTCATGAAGGGGAATAATAGGGAAGTGTGATGGAAATGAACAGACACGATGCTGAGCAAACAACAAAGAAGGAACTCAACAGAATGGTAAAAGAAAAACAATGGTGCAACAATCAGTGTCAAATAGAAATGCAAGGACTAAGCGGACGACTGAATGAAGACCCTGAAGATGACGACAAAAAATGGTCTAAGAAGAACTGGGACAACTAAAAATTGCGGCTTCTAAGGGGGTTGTTGTGAAACGCAAATGCATATGTTATACGACCGAATAGTGCTCTCGCCAGGGGCAACCACAGAAGGGAAACAACGAGATGCTTCACATGCAAGTAAGAGCAATGTATATTTACTTGCACATATGCTTACTTGTAGCCACTTTTGCACTGCACACAGAAACCGTGCTGGAGACAACCGTCGTGCATACAAGCGGAATCGCAGCTGACGCAATGTGACTGCTTCACATAGTGTCCTGAAATGCAGACAAGTTGTAAGAGTTTTCGCGTTTGTGTGTTAGTGCGAGCGCGTAAGTGTGAAAAATCCACTACAAGCCGCTGTGGAATACACGCGTGAAAAGGGGTCAAGTAGGCGTTCGAGGCACTTACCACAAGAACCAACTTACGAAGTCGTAACCGGAGTAACAATGTAGATTGGTATTCACAGATCAATAAGATGACAATTCAGTTCACTTAACCAATGTGGTCCGCGCACCGAAATGTGGTGGATTAAGTTAGGACTACTCGTGTCCACAGGACAACAAAAGCAACCGTAGTGAGAACACAAACAAAAGATGAAGAAAGGACAATTAAGAAAAAAGGGTGTAAAAGTAACCGAGATGTCACAATTCAGGAACCTCTTTGGCTGCGTGACTGCGCCATGTTTAATGGAGGTTTTCAAGAACGGATGTGGACTATCCCTAGGCTCCCATTCACGAAGATGGCATGCATCAGCCTGACCAAGTCTCTCAGACAATTTCTTCATGCCTGTATCGCACGTCATGGACTGGCCACCTCGCGGTTTCAGCCAATTTGATGCACACACGACGTATAGTGCACCCCGAAGAAGGCGGTCAAAGGGCATATAGAGGACATAGCCTAGCCAAACTAAGCGATTAAGCTTCAGCAAACATACGGGTGAGGCATTAGAAGGCTTCTTACCAAAAACCAACTGGCGGACCATAGCATTGTTCAGCTGATGTTCCCATCAGACGTTAATACAATTCTGCAAGCATCGGTGGTCAAACATGAACTGGCAAGATGGCCAGGTCTCTGATCTATACAGTAATACCGGCCCTATCGCAGCGTTATACACCATACCTTTCACGGATAGACTGATATTCCGCCGTCTCCAAAGATAATACAGCATTTGAAATGCCAAACGTGCCTACCTTATACGCGAAGTAACCACCTCAGTGATGTGATCATAAAAGATGACACAGCTACCAAGGTAAGTGAACCGATCCACCACTTTCAGTGGCCGTTTGCTGATAACTGAAACTGGTCCTGTTCTGTCAAGGAGAGCTATACCGTCCGCATATTCAGGGTATGTCTGTCAGTTACCAGGAAGAACTTTCACCCTGGAAATGGTCGAAAGAACGGAGTCATCCATGATCATTTCGATCACAAAGTTGAAGAGACAAGTTATAGGACAACACTGGCGAACCGCAGTTGGCGTGCAAAACTCAGGAAACTACTTCCATTAGACCCTCACACAGTTTCGGGGGTAGTGGTAGAAAGACTTTAAAATAGAAAGGACTCTTCCTGATACCTTCTGCATAGACACACTGCAACAATCAGACATGATTAACAGAGTCGGAAGCGCCTTTCAGATCAAGGAAAACCGCCAGAATCGGTCGTCAGTAAGCATGCACATGCTCCAGTAATTGCTAAGGCTAAATATGTGATCAATGCAATCACGTTCAGTGTGAGAGCTAGCCTGGCACCCAATTATCATGATGACCAACACTGGCTTTCTCCACTGTAAGAGGCCTTGCCACCCACCAACGTTCCAGGTCAATCCTAAGATTCCTTGTGAGTATTCGTTTCAAGGCATTGAGGATACGCTGAAACTCAATGTCCAAAGGAACCTGTGTACGTGAGTCAGTCGAATTGATCTAGGTCTCAGAGGTTTGTTCACAATTTGAATGCCTCAAGATGGATTTAGAGTAGGCGTCGAGCACATTCTTCATAGAACACTTGAGACAATTCTACTCAGGATTCGGTTCACAACCAGCCTGGATGATCTATAAAACCAATTTAGCCGTGAAATGGCAGGCAAATAGAAGAGGTAAGGTTCGAGTGCTGAAACAATCGGGGGTCGATACGACTAGTTGCACCTTTAAAAGGATGATTCAGATGGGAACCTTATGGATCCATTTGACACTAAACTGTATGTGATGTTTTTAGGGCAGAGTAGACCCACGTGAATTAGTGAGAGTGGGGAGAGAATGGAGTAGGTACCGAAAAGCACAACTAGAAACATACAATGATTATGTGAGAGTTATGAATGAGGTACAGGAGTCACAATAAAACGAAAGTTTCAGTTGTCTTTGAACAGGGTATGCAAGGTTGCACCAACCTGAAGGACAGCGACCATCCACGGACACCGCGTCCACGCAGCGGCCGTGTACCAGTCGATAACCGTGTTTGCACGAGGTGCACTCCCCGGTACCCGGCCCAGTACACTCGGCGCAGTGGCTGATACACCTAGCGGGGTAGCGTAAGAAACATCAAGTACACCGATGAACGGAATATATTAGAAAATCCCAAATACGAGGTGATAGCACCCCAGCAGAGCAATCATTAGTATACATGCATCCATCTGCATCAATCCAATTGTGATGAAATGGGTCAGTGTCGCGATTTGTGTTACCGTGTTGTTAGTAGTGAGAAATGGAACAAACTATGGAATCATAACTGGAAGATCGGTGTGACCAGTACCCATTCGAATCATGGAAGAAAGCATAAGCTGTCTATAGTGCACGTTGGATAGAGAAATGAGTAACAAGATCGCCCGATCTGCAGTGTGTTCGGGATGCCAAGCTGACAAGTTAGCTTCAGTAACTGGAATAACGCGGTGAGATGAATATCATTAGACTTACAGATTTCTCTTCGGCTATTTTCAATATTATACAGGTAAATGCGTTTAATATGCACGCACGATTGGGAGTGAAGTTAAAAAAAAGTGGCGCGCGTTTAGCAGCTGACAAACGTTCTATGAAGAAAGCAGGAAAAGGTTTCGAAAAGGTATAATGTAAGGACAGAAAACAACCCATCGGTGTGGTGCATAAAATGTTGGCAACAGACAATTGGGGCACTTACAGGTTGCATGTGAAGGAGGTTTTGTTTGGATATAGTCCCGGTGGGCATTCAGCTCGACACGTGCCGATCATGGTGGGCGGATCGCTGTCCACCGTGCGCAGACCCAAATCAGTGAAAAGTTGGGCTGTTCTGGCTCTGTTCACCTGTGGAGTGATCAATGGGACCAAATAGTAATCGTTTGAGCATGCGGTACAGTCATATTCGGTATGCGGCCGTACGCAAGCAGCACACAACGTCCAACACGGCTGACAGACCACATTACCCGTCGCGTGAGAGGAAGATTCCTTCAACCAGCTGCTCCGAAGACGACTGGGTGACACATGACTGCGAAGTCGATTGCCAATCCCATCAGTTGCATCAGACGACAGACTGACACGTAATGCTCCGTAAGGTGTGGTCCCCGGTGGACAAGTTGCCACGCATTGCCTAGAATGAAAAAAAGAGACGAAGAGAGTACTCGACGCATAGCGAACGGAAAGTTGAAGAGAAGTGTTCAGCGCATACAAAAACTAAACAGGAGTTGAAATAGGTCATGCGAGCAAATCATTATACGTCAGTCGAGTAAAAACTCAAATCGATTGGGAGACCTAGTGAAAACGATGCGGTCTAACTCCTAATCACAATATAAAAATAACTGACAGATGACATGTGTCTAGAAAACGAACAAGTGTCGGCAAATTTGTCTGTCGTAAGCGGGATCAAGCTGCGCGCATTAGCGAAATGGAGGGCCGCAACAATAGGAAAAACAAGTGGGCAAGACGAAAGTACCGAACCATTAAAAACTCTTCGGATTAAAAGAGCTTCCGGAACAATCGGTACACATATCGGGCAGCAAGATGCCATCTACAAAGGTGTGGGGTTGTTAAATGAACCAAAAAGACATACCGAGTCATTTCGATCAGAAAATAAGCTAAGTCAAACAGATGAACGAAGCTGTTGACAGAAGTGCAACAAACCCAAGTGAGACCAAGGGACGCCTAAGATACAGTGAGCAACCGGAAGCAACTAGGTTGTGCATGTGCAAGAGAGATACACCGAAAACGAGCGACAAGAGAGATAACCCAGATGAATCGTGGGACGATTATCAAGACAAAATGTGTCCAACGGAGGTAAAAGCAAGCTGACACAGGTGATATGAAAGCTAAGCGGTCACCAAAAATCAAAATAATAACACAATCCATAGCAATTAGAGGATGAGTAGAAACACGACAGAAAGATGGGAGAATATAAACCATTGTGGAAAAACATGTTTGACACAACGTAAGGGTTGATGAGATCGGTTCACAGTCACTGATCAAGCACAATCACTGTCCGTTAGGTCACAAGTGCGGCCTACACTCTATTCCGTGAGACGGATGTCACAGTTCGGGTGGGCCAAGGCAGTTTTAACGTCTGAACGAGCCGTTTCTGAGCACACAACTCCGACTCGTACAGTCGAATCGCGATGGCCACCGCGGACTCAAGCAAACACTTAAGAACGCACCGATCGATTGTCTGGTACCCGATAGATCACTTTGAATGACTCAACCAAGTTGGCAGCGTGGCCAGTGTCGGCGGGTTGCGTGGCTATGGATGAGTTGGTTTGTTTTCGACAAGCAGTCATGACTCAAGTCGGATGGTGTTCTTACAGTTTTTCAGACAGGCGCTTCGTTGTTCGGCCGATGTAGCCTGCCCTACAGGAACAGGAGGACGAATGAATACACATTGATTTGGCGTAGACGGGCCTCTTGTCTTTGAGGCTAGTCGACTTTTAATCATCCAATGGAATTTTTACTACTATGAAACATCCCTTAGACCCACTGTGTTGAAATCGCTCAGCAAGTACGTGAGCTTCCAGATCGGGATAGCGAAAGCGGATGCATGTCTTACTTTCATAGAAAACAGTATCGAGCAATGCATCTATCCAGTAATTTATTGGAATTCCTTTTGTCGCTCACGCATCATGTCGGACAAGGTGTGCTTGAAGCGTTTTGCTCTCAGTCAGATTGAAAGCACTCGTGTTGAAGGGGAGGAGCTCAAGCGTGGGCTGTTAGTTAACTACCGTGCTGACTAGCTCTTTGAGGAAGGATGGTGTAGTTAGAGAACATGGTCACGGTAATCGCCGCAAAACAAGGGGAAAAAACTACCTAGTTCGCTCTCAAAGAAACTAAAAGCAGAGAAATCGACACTGCCGCCGAACCTAGAAAGTAGGTTTGTAATTTAGCATTCCTAACACTTGATCATACCACAATTGAACTCCTCTCATTGGGCCCTAAGTACTGTCTCCCCAATTGAAGGGACAATAGACTGGTAATCGGAACTCAGTTCGAATATCTGTGCGCACAAACCTCACAATTGTTTCCATCATCTGACTCACAGAAGAATTTAAGTCGCTTCTATTGCATGCATGCTACCAATATCGCCGAGCTCGGATAGAGCATACTACCCCAGTGAAACACGAGCACATCCAGGCCTTAAACCTCCTAGTTAGCAATAAAAATGTCTTGCTTACTCGGCCGGATAAAGGCGTTGGTATAGCTGTTATGAACAAGGAAGATTACATCCGGGAAATGCAGAGGATACTAAGTTTTCGAAGCTACTTAATGAGAATGACAAGGCAAAGCAGGTCGAAAGTCAAATCCGCAACTATCTCACAAAACTTAGGGACGGTGGCTACATCAATGAGAAGGTATGTGAAAATTTACGCTCCACAGGCACCACAATTCCCAGACTGTAAGGTTTTCGCAAAATGTATAAGCCTGACGTCTCCCTACGATCAGTCTTAGATATGAAGAACGCACCGAAACACTCTACGGCGCGGTGGTTGGTCGAGCTTCTGGAACCTATACGAAGACGAGTTGCTATGCACAGCCTTAAGAACGGTTTTGATTTCGTGGATACTGTGTGCGATCTAAATGTCACGGATCTGACCATGTGCTCTCTCGATGCGACTTCACTTTTTACAGATGTGCCGTTATTTGAAACTAAAAATTACATCTGTGATTATGTCGAAGAAAACCAGGGAGCTAATGGTGGCCCTAAAAGGACTGCTGCTTCTGGTTAACGGTGAAATGTAGCGACAGCACAATGGAGTTGCAATGGGCACTCCACTTGGATCGTTCTCTCTGACATATTCATGGGTATGCTTGAACAGGCAACTTGAAGTCTGTCATCACGAACCTCAGTCTTGACCGCCGTTACGTCGACGGTATCTTTGTACTGCTCCACTCCTCTCGAACCATCGACGATCTTATCAATGAATTCAATCAGCGCAATAAACACTGAAGTTCACCACCAAAATAGACGCAAAATGTTACTTGTCACTTCCTCGACGTGGCAATGAAGTAACTCGAGAGTGGCGTGTTACAACGTCACATGTAACGGAAACACACGTGGAATGGATAATAACAGAATTTCCACAGTTTCGACACACCGAAATTAAAACGGAACCTGATCCTCCGTCTAATGAGTCCAGCAGAAAGAATTTGCTCGAACGAAACGTTTCCCGAAGAACTGAAGCACATACGTTCGACGCTGAGAGAAAATGGTTAGCCTGACAGTTTCCTGAAAGCCAACACTGGAGCAAAGAAAGAAGGCTTCCGCAACCCTTACAGTCAAGAGAAAACCCATCATTTGCCAACTACCATATAAGGGTGAAATCCCTGCTGAAATCATAACTCGTCAGCTTCTCTTGCCCTCAGACACATTATCCCCAGCAGCTAAAATACAAATCTAATTCGCCGGTAGCCCAATGGTTAGAACTAGCCCCAAAGACAAGAGGCCCGTCTACACCAAATCAATGTGTATTCATTCGCCCTCCTGTTCCTGTAGGGTAGGCTACATCGGCCGAACAACGAAGCGCCTGTCTGAAAAAGTGTAAGAACACCATCCGACTTGGCTCATGACTGCTTGTCGAAAACAAACCAACTCATCCATAGCCACGCAACCCGCCGACACTGGCCACGCTGCCAACTTGGTTGAGTCATTCAAAGTGATCTATCGGTACCAGACAATCGATCAGTGCGTTCCTAAGTGTTTGCTTGAGTCCACGGTGGCCATCGCGATTTAACTGTACGAGTCGGAGTTGTGTGCTCGGAAACGGCTCGTTCAGACGTTAAAACTGCCTTGGCCCACCCGAACTGTGACATCCGTCTAATGGAATAGAGTGTACGCCGCACTTGTGACCTAACGGATAGTGATTGTGCTTGATCAGTGACTGTGAAGTGAATTTAGCTCATAAACCAGTGTGTTTACGGTGCTAGCAAAATTGTTACTGATAATAGTGATAAACAATGATGTGTGGCAGTTAGACAATAATAATAATAGTGTGAACACCGAAATGGAGTGGAACTAGTTGCTGTAACCAAATGTACACATGAAAATGTGAACAAACAATCAAGCAGAAAAGAAGGTAAAAAGGTTATGCTCAATACCAAGAACAGGGGGCCAGGGAAGTGGGAATGTAAAAGCAATCAGGCTGAGAGTTGAACAGCATGAGGCACCAGACGGAAGCTAAAGCACCATTGACTCCGAGTCCGCACAATGTTGATAAGCCGATTAGCCGCAGATTTGGCCCAGTATGAAACCTTCAAGTAACCTGATGAAGTCACTCGCGAAAATTCTCAATGCCTTTTACCATTCACCGACGATCCTGGCTTGCCATAAAGGAAAACAATGCGCATGGTGACAGGCAATAAACCGATACACGAGCATGGTCATACCGGCGTTGGCAGTTTTAGTTCAACAGACATTACGATACCGACGTGTGGTATTAAGTATTGCGTACGTGAGATCAGTTATGAGTAACGTTTCTCAAGCAAGGGTGCTTAGTCTCTAATGGTCATCAAGCTGATCTGTACAGTAAAAGATTCCAAACTAGCGTTATGCAACCTGCCCTCGACTTATAAGCTGATACTGTGTCATCTGGATGTATGACTGAAAGTAAAAAATGCATGCACAGGGTCCCTTCGTGCATGCAACAATCGAGTAGGTGATGATCACCGGAGATGATGCATGCACCGCTCGAAAAAGTCTCGCATCTCGCCGATACCTCGTCCACGTTTCGCGGCCGTATAGAAGTACGAACCAGTACCATGAATTTGGACAACATCAACTTCGTGGCAACGGTAAGCTGGTGGCTGCTCTACACTCGATACTTAAGCTTCCAGAAATCCGCCACGGGCTTTGATACGTGGATACGAAGCTCATTGTATATTTGCTGATCAGTCGAAACCACAGTCCCAAGGTAAAAAAAAGCGGAAAGTGGTTTCCAATACATTAAAACCAATGCTGAGTTGCAGCAAAATTGTAGAATGCACCTAGGTTAAGGTGCTTGTATTGATTGTGAGCCCCAGTTTGGCGCTGTCGAAGCCAGAGCAGTAGTCTTGTGGTGCAACTCTTCCCGATGTGTGCAAACAACGCACAGTCGTCAATATGCAGCAACATAG